GAGCATAAGCGATTTGTTCCGTATCTAAGTGTAAAACCTATCTAAAACAAATACTTATTTAGTGAGTGCAGACTTTATGGAATGAAAACGTGAGTTATATTTATCAAAGTTTTACTCACGTGTTCGTTTTGGGAATACCCCACAAGCGGACTCTACGGAGTTTTTTTTAAGGAGTACGGCTTCCATTCTCCTCCTTCGGGGATTCAGTTAGTTAAGAGTGACGCGTGACAAAGTTGCGGCAGGACGATATCAAAGTACATATGTCAGTAAACCGTAATGATTTGGAAGTATAGTTACAAATGGTGACATATGAGAAAACTAATTAGTACACAAACAACAAAAAAATATAAAACTTGGATTTTTCCTCCCCGACCCCTTAAACTTGGGGATGGAAATTTGAATCAGACTCGCAAATTTTGATGATAGAGGTCTGAAATTTTCTATAATAGGGACTCCTTGTTATAAATAATAAATACATATTATATAATTCAGTATTTTTTTGTGAATCACTCCCCATGCTTTACATTAGCGAATGTGGAATTAAGCGGGCTAAATTAATAACACGTCTAATGTGTACCCGTCCGGCGTTGGCTTACCGTCCGAACATAAACAATTGTTGCCGATTACGCCCGAAATGAATATCAGGAATAAAAAACAACGTTTCATGGTTCAACCCAAATGGGCACGAGTACACGTCACCATCGGTGCGAGAGGACGTCTCGATTCAATTTGATAATAGATTATAAATTATCCTCAAAACTGTGCAGTTATTTATATTTAAAACGTAATGATGCAAAATGAATAAAGTGTAAATATTCATAATAATTAAAGAATATGTTTATTTTTAATAACATAATTAATTACAGGTATTCATAAATCATTATTACTATTATTAATCAGATTCAGATAATGTCTAAATATTGCACTGATCTATCAATTATTACAAAGATTAAATCAACAAAATAAAAGGCAAAGATAGAGAGTGGGTTCTGAAAAAAGGCAGCTCTGATGTGCAAGAATTACCTACACCCAAAAAAAGAAAGAAAAATATGAACAAATTTTCGACACATTTTTTGACTAAGATGTAGAGCTTGTGAAATTAGGGCTTGTTGAATTACGTCGTGTAGAGTTACAAGTTTGGCTCTACATCAGATCTTATAACTTTTCGACAGTGTGAACCACATAATCTCGTCTTGGCAACATTTTACAAGAAAATGTTTTTGGTTTAAAAAATATTACAGATGAATATGTACAATGGGCGACCTTATTGCTAAAAGCAATCTCTTACAGGTAACCTTTGAATGAACAAATCGAAAGTAGATGAATATAAACAATGGGTAGACTAGGTGTATTAAAGCTAGAGTAGTGTAAAAATAAATATATAACTATAGGCATACATACAATATATCATAATATATATATATATAAATACATGTACCATAGGTGGCCAAATTAATAGGGACAGTGCTCGTATTTATGTAATTTATAGTTTATTATATTTTTTTGAATAAATGATGTTGTTTTTAAGCGGTTATTGTATCTGATATATTTACTGGTATCATTATTATTGTTTTTGTCAAATGGCAACACAAAATACGTGCGTTTTTTATTAATTGTGTGACGTTTCTTCTTTGCCCGTAAAAAGCGCGGTTTGCGGTATTATTGTTGTATTGTCTAGGTATTATTTTTTCATTAGTTTTAACTGACTTTTGTGTCTTAATTAATCAAAAGGTAAGTAATGCTCCGTATAAGAATAGTTTTGCTACGTTTTGTCTATGAGTTTACATTTTATTAATGGTTCAACACGTTAACCCAAAATTATAAGCTTTTTAGGATGGGTAGGACTTTGGACACGTCTCCAAGAAAATGTAGAGAGATACAAACGTTGTTACTGCACTCCACACATTCTCAGAGAGACATAGCAGCTATTTCTGGGGTTTCAAAGTCTGTCGTCAATCGAATAAAAATAAAAATTGACAATAAAAAGCCTCTTGAAGCAAATCGTGCTGGCAAATGTGGCAGGAAAAGGATTACAACAGCTCGTACCGATTGAAAAATCAGGAACATCTGCCTCGAAAACCGTAAAAAGGGCGTTGCTCGTTTAACAACTATGATAAACGAAGAGGGCATAAAGATTTCAGAGAGGACAATGCGGAGGCGGTTGGTCGAAAAGCATCTCATGGGAGTGCGGCCTGCCAAAAAACCACGCCTAACCGGTAGTATGAAAAAGAAACGACTCCAATGGGCTAGGCAACATCGATCTATGACTATTGCAGACTGGAGTCGAGTAAGTGTAACTATTTTGTATAATGCAATTGGTCAATAACAATTTATTTATTTATTCTACTATTCATTCTATCAATTACAGGTGTGTTTTCCGACGAATCTACCTTCCAAATTTTGGTTGACAAAAGTTATTTTATAAGACGACGTCCTGGTGAGAAATTTCACGCTGATTGCCTTGTAGAGCAGGTTAAACACCTGGTTAGTGTCATGGTGTGGTCTGTCATCTTAGCCAAAGGCATGGGACGCCTATACATTGTGGAAGGGACTATGAAACAAGACCAATACAAGAGAGTACTAGAAACGCGATTATTGCCGCAGTTCAATGAATGGTTCCCTGATGATGACGAATACATTTTTATGCATGACTCAGCACCGTGCCACAAAGCCAGAAGTGTAACTGCATTTTTGGCTGAAAAAAATGTCTCTGTTTTGCCTTTGCCAGGGAATTCACCTGACATGAATCCAATAGAAAACATGTGGGAACTCACCAAACGGGCGATCGCAAAAGAAGTGATTACCACTAAGCGACAATTGATTGAAACTCTCATCAGAGAATGGTATCACAACTCCAAACTCCAGGAAAATGCAAAAAAATGTATTGAGAGCATGCCCCGACGCATAGAAGCTCTTATTGCAGCAAAGGGTGGCATCACTAAATATAAAAAAATATTTTATTTATTTTTAGCAATATTGATAATACTCATACGAAGAATATAAATCAGTTTTGTATATTTTTTTGTAGTTTTTGTGATCCTTATAGAATACAGATACAAAGAAAAAATATATAAGAGACCTACAACTAATCGTTTGTTACAGAAATCCAATTAAACTAGGAAATTCAAAAATTTCGATACTGTCCCTAATAATTTGGCCACCTACTGTATATATATATTGATAACTATGAGATCATTTAGTTATGTAAAGAGTATTTATGAACCTTAGTAGTGATCTTTGACAATATGAACTACATTATTATATAACCGATTTGGAAAAATCTTTCATTATTTAGGTTAAATTAAATTTGGGCACGCCGTCATTGTGGCGGTAAGACCCGTTATGGAGGATTGGCTCGAGAGGCGTCACGGGACCCTCTCATACCGATTGACGCAGGTGATCACTGGGAAGGGATGTTTCGGAGATCACCTGTGTCTGATCCGCAAGGAGCCAACGCCTGAGTGCCACCACTGCGATGGCCAGACCGTGGACACGGCTCTCCACACGCTGGCAGAGTGCCCGGCGTGGGTTGAGCAGAGGCGATACCTCGTGGCGGCCATCGGAGTGGGAGTTCTCTCGCTCGATAGCCTGATTGCGGCTATCGTGCGGAGCGAGAGTGCGTTTAACTCTGCCGTCTCCTTCTGCGAGCAAGTTATGCTCGCGAAGGAGACGGCGGAGCGGGACCGGGAGAGGTTTAGAACTCTCCCGGCCCGCCAGGCCCAGGCACGGGCCAGGCAGCGCAGGCGACTCAGGCGCCGGAGGTCGCAGAACGACCTCCGTCCTCCATAAGCGCAGGCCTGGGGGTGACAGGTGAGGCCATCTGTCACCCTAGCAGAAGCAGGCCGGGGTGGCGGCGAGCGCGTTGCGAAGCGCGCTCTCTTCCAGGGAGCACAGGGAACATGGGGTTCCCACACGTGGGGGGGTCGTCTACTCGTCTGTAGATGACCCGAGGTATGTCGGGGCACCAGGGACTTCCTTTCTAGGGTATACCTGGTTCCCCGGCTATTAGTACCCGGCGAAGGCGTGCGGTTTTAGTCGGTTCGAGTCCGACATGCCACCGACAGGTGGTATCCGAGATGATTTCCGCACGGAAAAAAAAAAAAAAGAAAGGTTAAATTAAATTATCAAGAAAAAAATTGAGTATAGGTTGACACTATGTCTAGCGATTAGCACTATTAGAAAACCTTAGTCTCTACAGCAATAATAATAAATCTACATCAAAGTATTGACGTATCATTAGCGTAATGTACATATTATATACAATAAGAGTATGAAGAGAAACAATAATGTACAAAAAAGGCGTAAGGAGTCCGCCGACCGTTGGCGAAACGAAGTTCCGCAAGGAAGTGTCGGAAAAAAAATTTGGTCATACATTTTTCGGTATCGTTCTTATCCCCTTAGAGCGTGTAGGGCGGGATAAGGAATTTCGTTCATAAAAGAAAAAATCTTGGGTGTCTAAAAAATTCAACTTATCACAAATTTATATTTATTTACGTTTTACGTTTACTAGCTGCCAGAGCTATCATTGGAATATCATTAAAATCATTAGTGATTTTTAGCTTTTTATAAACTTTTGGTCATGCTTTAACGGAGGCTAATGAGGTAGATCAAGCAAACAAGTTGTACCGCGTCTGTTTAATAAAGAATAGGAAGTAGTTATATATATTTTTAACTATAAACAATAAAATATTTTAGCAATAATATATTTATGACCGCTATGATTCTCAATACGCGTTTACCGTGACGGAAATGTGAGTTAATAAGTACACCGAAAAAGGTGCTTTAACACAAGGCTGATTACTTTCGTAATTACACTTGACATTGCTGTTCACTAGCTAATTTAATCTTAAATCTGAGAAATTATGAAGTCAATATGTTTTAAATTTGACCTTTGGATGGTATAAAAGAGTTCATGACGGAGGAAAAGTATCAGTCAGCCGATACACGGTTTGAAGTGATCTTGTGTTTCGTCGAATCTCTCAACACAGACCACGTTAATAATGAATACGCTGGTGGTGTTATTCGCTCTCGCCTCTGTGGCTTGCGGTTCCTTGGTGCCGCTAGCTCAACCACTGCATCAACCTGCAATAGTGTTGGACCCGCACGGTCGTCCTTTGGATACTGCTGAGGTGATAAACGCGCGCTCTCTGCACCTGCAGGCCAAAGCCCTGGATGAACACAATGGACACGCTGCTGTCGTCGCACCTCTTGCTCACTCAGTCGCCATTGCTCCCGCAATTTTCACTGCCCCTGCCGCCGTGTCCCATCAATCCCGCGTGGATGTTATCTCCAGTCCGTCTATTGCAACTATTGCAACCCATGCTGCACCTGTCGTAGCGCATGCGTCACCTCTGCTAGCCTACTCCGGACTTGGATACGCCGGCCATGGTCACTACCTGCACAAACGATCATTGGGCCACTTTGCCTATGCTGCTCCTGCTGTGATTGCCGCCCCCGCTGCTGTGTCCCACCAATCCCGCTTGGATGTGATTTCCAGTCCCGCAGTAGTATCGCACGCCGTCACCGCTCCTGTTCTAAATCACGCTGCTCCTATCATCGCTGTGGCACCTGCTGCTGTCTCACATCAGTCCCGCGTTGATGTGCGTACCAGCCCTGCCATAGTTTCCCACGCTAGTGTGGCTTCTATTGGTCATGCGGCCCTGTACTCTGGTCATTCTGCGTGGGTTGCTCCTGCTTACGGGGCTCATTCCGGTCATGGTTACGCCCATCTTTTAAAGAAGCGTTCTTTAGCTCACTTCCTGGCCCCTGTCGTTCACACTGTGCCCTCTGCAGTATCCCACCAATCTCGTGTTGATGTTATTTCTAAGCCTGCTGTGGTCTCAACTCACATAACACCTGCCGTATACTCAGCACCTGCCGTGTACGCTTCTCCCATTGTGTCACACTATGCTCCTATTGCACACTCCGCCGTCTGGACCGCGCCCCTGGCTCTGAAAGCCGCCCACTGGTGAAGCGAAACTGCGATTTCACGAACTTGTTTGTAGTTTTCGTTTTAATACTGTTGTAATAAAATGAATAGACATCAATAAATATAATTTATACATAAGATTGTTGTTTTGTATGTCGTATCACCCTATTTTTCTGTCTGAATAAACTACCATGTACATGCAATTTCCTCGATCCTTAACTTTCTTCGGGAAACATGAACTTGCAAAATAAGCTTTAAACTAAACAATGACACTTCGAAGCAATATCTAGCGAGTTTGTAAAATTAAAGTATAAAAGGCAGATAACGAGAAATGAAACGATTATCTATTTTAATCAAATCATATAATTTTTATTACACATTTGATGAGATGTCAAAAAAAAAAGAAATTTTGTCTGAGATATAGTTACCGGCACGGACCTTGAGCGCTTGGCGGTAGAGTGGGATCGCTTTGCGCATCGTGCACTTATGGCAAAATAAAATGCACACCCATTTATTACTATTTATTTTTTCTTACTTAAAATAGAATCAAACTAGATCAAAATCATAAGAAGTTGCGTAGTAAACGTAACTGTCTATTGAATCTATGGTAAGAGCCAAAAGGTTTTTATTTAAATAAAAAAAGAAATCGCTTTCTTTTTGAAGATGGTACTGGTACGGTGGCCATTTCTTCATCATCGTATTGTGTTATAGGTACATATTAGAGAATACATTACGCTATCTAATACAATCGCATAAAAATCTCAATTTTTAACTACCATAAAATTAAATAGCGAAAATTAAAATGATTAAATTATTAATAAAAAAAGAAAGACCATATTAACTTGCTCGGAAGTGTACTCGTAGTACTTAATTACAAGAAAGCGAATCAAGAGCAGCGAAAATATCGATAAGCCAAACTCTGACTGACGTTATGGTTTAATTCCCCCCCTCCCCCATACGTCAAAAGGGACCCCAAAATCAAATCAAGGTCAACGCAAGATCGTTGCCGGTACCTATACCCGATTTATTAAGACGGCTGTTTCAATGATGATGGAAATTGGAGAACTCCTCAACAATTAAAGTCATTGCATCCGGTAAGGCACTATTTTGTAGATAGTGATGACTTGATCTAAGGCTAAAATATTTATATTAGTCAATGTTAGTTTTTACTTTAAATTCTTCTTAACAAATGAGGAGGTTCTTAAATTTCATATGATATTTTTGTATGTACTCGTATAGACGTTAATTAAGTATGTTTATGTCGTTTTTGTCAACCAACTTTAGTCTTTTTTTATTGGATTAGTTATGTTTAAATTCGAATGTTCTGTCTCTGAGTAAGAAAGAACACACTACTATTTTAAATAATGTATTTAATAACTATAGTATTATATTCGTATTATAGTATTAATAAAAGTAATTTATACTGTTTTTAAATATAGTAAATTATTTAAATAAATGTAAGTATTTAATAATAATGATAATAAATTTATTGAAAGTAAAGATTTACATAATTTGTTCAACAATGATAGCCACACTAGGCTTAGCCTGTATCAAGGCTATCAATACAAAAACGATTTTACATTTGGACAGTAGCAATAATATTAGAATCTTTTATAAATCTCACATGAAACATTAGAAAGAGATCGCAGTTTACTACAATCTATACTTATTTAATTGAGTGTGTGTGTGTGTGATAGTTTGTGAGCCTGTGTGTGTGTGTTTATGTGTACATGTCTAAGTATGTGTATTCGTCTGTCTGTCAGTTTTCATTCTTATTTTGAGATTTTTAGCAAGCGTTCGGTTTCTTTATAGTTAAGACAGCTCATGATTTTATTGATATTTCTTCCGTATTGTATCCTGTTTGAAATTATATCTATTGACAACCTTGTTGTAAATAAATGGAAACAAGAACTTTTGAAAGCGGTTTGCAAAGGATGATTTGTTTCTAGGAACAGGGACTTTGAAAATTCTTTGCCTGAGCATTTTATTGTAATCAGGGGCTAAACGCCCCTGATTACAATACGTTTTTATGTGTGGAAATGATGGCTTGAAATATGTACAATCGTCTTATATTCAATACTTCGGCTTCTTTATAGAGTGGGAATCTCAACGGTTTATTCAACATAACTTTTAAAATTGATCTCTGAGCTCTTTCTAAGATAATGTGTGATAAGTGTGTTGCAGCTGAGCCTCCCCAGATATTTAAACAGTAAGTCACGATGGATTGACACAATGATATGTACATATATCGTTTTTAATAAATGTAAATCAGCAACATTTCTAAGTTGTCTTACAACGTAAATTAGGTTCCTTGCTTTAGCAGCAGTTGCCACGATGTGGTCTTTGTAAGGGAGTCTATCATCTAGAATTACTCCTAGATATTTAATGCTTCATGTCCTTTGTATTTTATTACAATTACAAATAGTCTGATAAAAATTACATGTGTGAATTGGAATGTTTGGGCTTAAGGCTGGAGAAGAAGCTGCAGTTTTGTGGTAGCATAAATATTTGGTTTTGCTAGTATTTGAAGTTAATAAATTATTGTAAAGCCATTTGCCATACCTTGTTCTGCCGTGGCAAAACAGTTGGCCTAGGTGGAATCATGAAATATTGTTGCTGTGTCATCCGCGTTGCAGATCATCTTTGCATTTCTAAGTGGTAAGGTTGTCAGGTTATTTATATACAGAAGAAATAGAGTTGGGCCTAACACACTCCCTTGAGGAACTCCAAAAGAAGTTGCCTGCAAGGTACTGTGCAAGGAGTCCACCTTCAAATATTGTTTCCTTTCCGTCATGTAACTTGGGAACCAGGTTAGCGCGGTTCAACTTATTCCAATGCCTTCCAATCTCTTGAGTAAGATTGGAATTGCCACAATATCAAAGGCCTTTGCGAGATCTAAGAAGATTCCGATACATGCAAGGCCATTGTCTAGATTTGTAACAATTTCATTTGTAAATAAATTTACAAGCGTCTTCAGTGGACCTTCCTTTCCGAAAACCGAACTGACTTTCTGATAAAATATTGTTCTTCTCAATGTACTTAACTACACGCTTGTTGACTACTCTTTCTACTATCTTAGCTAAGACAGAGAGCAAGGAAATTGGTCTATAATTGTTAGCCAAATTGGTTTCTCCTCCCTTATGTATAGGTACAACAAAAACTGTCTTTCATTCTTGAGGAACGATTCCGGTTGATAAACTTTGGTTAATAATGTAGCGTTATTAACCAAAGTTTATCAACCGGAAGGTTAGCGGTTCCACTATATAATTCTTGACTTTTTTTATGAGTCGTTTAGTAACTCCATCTGGTTCTGGGGCACTGTCATTCTTTAGATTCATAATTATGTGTTCTATTTCTGTATTATCAGTTGGTTCGAAGAAGAATGAGTTTGAAGGAAATGATGCTTGTGATTGTGTTGTATTTAGATTGTTTAAGATATCGCTAGCCTGTTTTTGTCCTACCGATGTAAAATATTCATTACAGAGATTTAATGAGTCTTGCGGGCAGGAATTTAAATTTATTAGATCTGTGGCGGGTGATTTCGTTACTACTTTTCTATGCGAGATTTTATTAATAGTCTGCCAGAGTTGTCGTGGTTGACTTTTCGAGTTTTTCAGCAATGTACATTCATATTCATTTCGTATTTTACGAATTAGAGAGTTATAAAAAATTCTATACCTGAGATATATCACTGATTTGACTTCGTTTCTTGGCATTTGTTTAGCCTCTAGGTGTAATTTATCACGAACACGTGAGCATCTTAGCAACCCTTCCGTCATCCACGGCTTAAGAATTATCTTTGAGCGACTTATTCTAATTAATTTAGTGTTGTCTTTGATTATATTGTTAATAATACTCATAAAATGTTCTGTTTGGTCAGCCACATTCTGTATCTTCATTATCTTAGACCAGTCTACATTGCTGGGTTTTTCTGAAATGGAGTCTTAGTTAAGGTGGCATTTGTAGGAGATGTTGATGTTGTGGCCGTGGCTGTTAAACCAGTAACGACAAGGTCGTGGTCAGATATTGCTGAAGAGCAGACTATAGTCTCCACATCCACCTCTCCCTTAAAGAATACGTGATCAAAGCATGAATCATATCGAGTGGGCTTATTTATAGCTGACACTAGGCCTAGCTCAGCCATAGCGCAAAGGTATGTTGTTATATCGTTGCCGTCTAAATAGGATATATTTATATTGATATCGCCAGTAAACATAGTGCATGGCTTTTTATTTAAAATTTTCCTAGCATTGTGCAAAAAGTTAACACAACGATCTATATTTTTAAATGATGGCAATCTGTAGATTCCTAACACAGTTATAATGTCTGGGACATATATAGCTAGACTGTTTGCAATAACAATATATACGCAATAAAAACTTACATTATATTATTGACTAGCCTGGATTATTCATTGTTGATGTAGCGATTAGGGATCCTGACTGCTATACCACAGGTTGTGGGTTCGGTTCCTACCCAGAATAAATAATTGTGAGAAGAATACGATCATTTGTTCTGTGAATGGTTGTAATTTGTGTATAAAATGTATGTTTGTAGAAATATGTATGGTTATCGGCAGAAGCGCAAAGGGGCTCGTGGCTCAGTGGTAACGTCTATTCTCACGGTATTCTCCCTCACTCGGTGATAAGCAAAAAAAGACTTGTCTAAAATCGGTTTTCCGTGACTAAGATCGAACCGGCATTATTGCACGTGGTAATAATAAAAAAATGTATTTCTACTGCATAAGGGTTATATTTATTAGTGGTTTGTACACTTGTGTGTAGTAAATAATTCTTATGTCATCATCATCAAATGGATTTACTAGTCAACTGCTAGACATTGGCCTCTCCTTTGAAAGGAAAGGAGGTTTTGGCCTGCGATACCACGCTGGTCAGATGGATTGGTATAGAATTTATGTCAAGACGGCTGTACACGGGGCTTGTTCGGTCAATGGCACTGTACGGTGCACCTTTGTGGGCGGCGGCTCTAAACGCCCTATATAGGGCGCGCCTATGGCGCCCTCAGAGGATATTGGCGGTTAGAGCCATACGTGGTTACCGCACCGTTTCAACGGAGGCGGCATGCGGGTTGGTTGGAACTCCCTGGTGGGATTCGGAGGCGGAAGTGCTGGCCGAAGTATATCGGCGGACAGCTAATTTCTGGGCGGGTAGTGGCAGTCGGTTCCCCGCCCGAAGATGTACACGAGTGGCGTGAGGCCGCTCGCCGAGCCACTATAGCTCGCTGGCCGTCCCGGCTGCCTGCACTCGGTCCGCGTGTGCCATACGTCGCCTAAATAGAGAATTCACCCGAAGGCGGTGCCCGCGCTTTGCGTGCAGGCGCCAGGAGGGGTCAGGATGTCTTAATAATAGCAGTGCCCGGATCCCTCCTATTTTTAGGTGCAGAGTGGCACACCGTGTGGTTTTAGTCGATAGGATTCCGACACATCACCCTGCCGCAAATCGCGGTGGGGTAACAACCCGAGGGGGTTTCCACACGTAAAAAGTTTCAAGTTTTCTTTCTCTTTGCAAAGCTGTTGTCCTGAGTACTTTGCTCCCTTAGTCGGCTCTTACGACACCCACGGGATAAATAAGGGTGGTGACACTCCGTATTCTTAATCCGTAACCTCACGGATAATTATGTCTCGGATAAGTATATCTTATGTATTTTGTTATATTGACATGACCTAGTTACTTAACAAAGAAATCGAAGAATCCTGATGTTGAAATGGTCACCATGAAACGTTGTGTTTACAATTTTTTGTGGTACATAAACCGAGTTGCTACTTTAAAGGTTTTTTTAAATGTTTTTGATCGTATATTTTTTTACAAATAACGTGATATGCAATAACTTCTTTGATGCATATTTAGTGGCAGTGCCATACTCTACGACATACTTATACATGGTACACTGGTACCATTGCAGTGTGCATTAAATATTTGAATGATTTCAATATTACAACGCATTTCTTAAGATATAAATATAATGTGATTGGTAAATAAGTACATAAATGTGATTGGTCAATTTGGAAACTTAGGAGTTCCAATTCGGAAGTGACGGTAGGAGTAGGCACAATAGTATACCTACTTTCATTTATATAATTATTTAAATTACTTTGAAGAAGTCTATGGCAATTCTGGTTGAAAAATTAGTTTGGTTTGAATATATAAGTATTAAAAAACGTTTTATAGGTATTTATATATATTTTACATCAGTTCATATAGATAGTCTTGGTTGTTCATCAGTTTCGCTCTTTACCAGGCTTGGATCAAGGGGGCAGAGTTGTAGTAGCCATGGCCGTAGTTGTAAGGGGCGGCGTAGCCAATAGGAGCGACAGCGGCATGGTTGATGTTGGCTAAAACACCATGCTGAGCTACGGGAACAACGGCAGCGGGGGCAATAGCGGAGTGGGCGATGATGGCTGGGCTGCTGTGTACGTCAACGCGGGACTGATGAGAGACGGCAGCTGGGAGAGCGTGAGATACCACAGGCGCCACGGCATGTGACACCAGAGGCGCCACGGCATGTGACACCACAGCGGGTCTGGAGATTACATCTACACGGGATTGGTGAGATACAGCGGCGGCTGGTGCAGCGTAGTGTCCCAAGGAGCGCTTGTACAGGTAGTGGCCGTTACCAGCGTAGCCAAGGCCAGCGTGGCCAAGGCCGGCGTGAGCCAGCAGAGGAGCGTTGTAGCCGTAGGCCGAAGTTAGGGCGTAGGGTGCGATGACAGCACCGTGTCCGTAGCCACCCTCAAGAGCTTTAGCTTGTAGATGAAGAGCACGAGAGTTGATAACCTCAGCGGTGTCGAGTGGGCGACCGCGGGGGTCCAACACGATGGCAGGTAGGTGTGGGGGCTGTGCCACCAGGGAACCGCACGCCACAGCGCAAAGAGCGAAGAACACCACCATCGATTTCATTTTGAACGTGGTCTGTGTTTTTTCTGATGAACAAGTTTACTTTAAACCGTAGACGGTTGACTGATAAATTTGACTACAATTCGTCAGTATTTATACTAAGCGCACGAAGGTAATTAAAAAGTAAATTAGTTTCAGTGTTGATGGATAGAAAAATATTAGATATTGTAATGCGACCTCGACGTGTATACATGACGGTCATATCGTATGACAGGAGAACTATCGGTGATTGCTATATCATATGATAAAGTATAGAATGATCATATATTTGTTTACAACTAAGATAAACTACTATGATTCACTAGCAATTAACATGCTTAACAATCCATTTGACGAGCGTTAATTTGTAAATTTATGATTGAAAATAAATTTCGGAGATTTAATTAAATAATTTTAGTGCTGGATTTGAGGTATGAATATAATTAAGTAGTAAGTTACACAATAGTTACTCTTAATATGTGTTACTGATTACGTGGTGAGATTTATTTCGTAAAACTAGCAAATTAAATGGCTGTGGAATTAATACTCTTTTTTTAAACATTTAATATACCTTGACGTTTTCTTCCTTAGAAAAACCTGCAACACGCAGCAAACAAGTTGGTGAGCCTATTAAAATAGAATGGGTCGAGCCACTTCTTCATCTACATTACTTCTGGAGCCATTATGTTATTTTATTTAAAACAGAAGGTAACAATGATAATTGTTATTTTTTTTAGTTAGAATCAATCTCAAGAACTATTCTAATGGTGATGGTTACTTAAAGGAGTTATCGAAATTGAGATTCACTGAATTCAGGCCTATCCTTGACCCTAGGAAAAACAACCATAAGTGTCTTGAATGATGGCAAAGGTTTTACTCTACCTACGCAGAGTTCACAGTTACACAAAAAAAATTGTAAAGATTGCCAAAACATCCTTGTGATTTTAATTTCAAAAGTACATTTATCAAACACTTTTTATTTTATTCCTTTTACACTTACTTAGAATTTTGAAACTATTAATTAATCTGAAATTTAAACAATTAAAGTAAAATAAAAACGAAATGTGTAATAATAATCCATACTTATATTGTATGTGTGAAAGTGAGTTTGTTTGTTTTTTTTTTATTTAGAAAGAAAGAAGATAGAAAGAAATAATTTAAACATTATATTATCCATTAATATTTGTTTGTTGGACATTCATAATTTATCATAATAATACTATATCCATGAATACATAAAATTCAAGTGAAATCATATAACCGACTCCGCATCGCTCCCGTTGCTAATGCGCAAATGATGCGCATGCGCACATTCTTTGCAACAGGAACGAGCTGGAGCGGGAGTCAGTTTGTTTGTTTGCTAAACTTAGTCGCCTAACACATCAAACCGATGTTAAAAATTCTTTTACCAATTGAAAGTTACATTATCAGCAAGTAACATAGGCTATTTTTTACCGCGACAGCCGACATACACGCGGGAGGATAAAAGTTCGTACAATATACACTAGTATATCTACAAAAAAAAATCGTTAGAGGGTTGGTACTTCCCAACAATAGACATTTCAAGTTGTCCCCCGAGTGCGGAGGGTTGCGAGTGTGCTGCATCGTGTGGAAGTGCTCGTCGAAGAGCCACCTCCTGTCGAGGATCAAGGACGGTACAAGGACCGAGAAGGTTTTTTTTAACGTGTGGAAGGAAGGAAAACTTGAAACAAACCCTATACCAACCCGTCTGGCCAGCGTGGTATAGTAGGCCAAAACCTTCTTTCTAAGGAGAGGCCTATGTCCAGCAGTGGACTATTAAAGGCTGTTGATGTGATGTGATGTGATACATAGAAACACCCAAACCAAATCAAACATTAAATGTTCATGCCACAAATGTTTGGCTTGAGCGGGCATCGAACCCGCGACCTTTGGAGTAGCAGTCCGTTACACAAACCACTACGCCATTTGGTCGGGTAAATATTCCTAGGGTGGGAGTTGTCCATTAAAAGAAAAACAAAGTAAAACTGAAGATGACATATGTGTCATCAGGTCCATATTGCCGACGACATTACCGATAACATTAATATAGAAGTAGGTGGCCAGTCTGATGTTTCAGAATATTTTTCAGAATATTAGTGATCATAAAGGTTCATGTAAGAGAGTAGTGCTATAGTATACTATGAGTTACAGAATGATGGACCTTTATGATTAATAAAGTAATTAAAAAATATGATTCATATTATATATAAATGGATATGCCTTATTAATTGGACGTATTAATTGGACCGTGTGGTGACGGATTTAGAATACGGAGTATCACCACCCCTATTCATACCGTGGGTGTCGTAATAGCCGATTAAGAGACTAAACTAGGCAGGACAACAACACTGCAAAGAAAAGGAACACTTGACACAAACCCTATACCAACCAGCGTGGTATACTAGGCCAAAACCTCATTTCTAAGAAGGCTTCTCCTATGTGACGTAGTGGACTATTAGAGGCTGTTGATGTGATTTTGTATAATTACATTTTAAATACGTATGGACACTTTTATTCAGGATTTTTTGTCATAAAAAAGATAACTTTATTTTATTAACGTCATTTTCCGATAGTGGCACATCCCTATTTAAGAATGGCAACAAACTAGCAACCCTCAGAGATAAAAAAAACAGGCTATAGGTAATTATTTCTAGGACTCTATTGTGCCTAAAAGGGTTTCATCTACATATAATAACTATCTGACCACTGCGGAGGTCCACCTCTGAGCATCTCCTGCCACTTATAAGAGAGTACTAGCCATCTCTGATATTTGGTAGTAGATAGTTTTCAACTTTCTTTTAAGTGAAGACCATAAACCATTAAGGATACGTAGCTTAACATGACTAAAGAACAGGAACTGTTTTTTTCTAACTAAGAAAGAATTTTATGTATACTACAAACAAATTAAAATAAAAACTTTAATTTACTTTTATAATAACACATTGCTTACTGTTAATAATTTATTTATCCTTGAAAATTGTCGGTATGGTCGTGTAATATACACGTCCAATGTAATTCAGTAACTTATTTATAACGCAGAATAATTATTTTGGTTTAAAATATGTTGATTAAAATCAGTTATATGAATAGGAATATAAACTTCTAGAACTACTAAAATTTTAGTCAGGTTTTTGTTGAATCTTATATGTTCAACAAAACCGGATTAAAATTTTTACATATAAGGAGGAGGATTGAGGCCTTTGTTCAGTAGTGGACGGCGGTTCAGGTTGATGAAATAATAGAATAAAAAATATTTAAAGTGGAAAGAAACAAAACTTTAAAGTCAAAACTACGCTTTTGAGTCGATCAATAAGTTATTTATATAAGCTATTGCATTAGAGAAGCCCAAAATCGATCTAAGTGGCTTGCAATGGGAGAGGCCTATGTCCAGCAGTGGACTGCGATAGGCTGATGATGATGATGATGATTGCGTTAGCCCAATGTCAACTGATCATCTTTTTACAAGATATTGCTTTTTCAGATGTTGCAGACTTTTTAGTACTTTCGGTTTATTCGATAACATAATTAGACTTTTTTCGATTGAACAGGAAGGTACACTGTGGTGTGAAAAAAAGATAAATGGATTTATTCTTTAAATAGTCAAAGTCAAGTCATCCGATTTTAGTTTTCTGTTGCAAATTATTCCTTTAATATGATCCAAAATAAATTAGATATGTATGCTTTAGATACATATTATGAAATATATTAGATACATAATACGAGTATATTTTGGTTACTCGCTACCGTTCCTTGGAAGCAGTTTTTTTTCTCAATGAAAGGTATCATGAGTCCTGTTCTGTAATGCATCTGTTAATTCTCTAATAATCGGTTGAATAGTTAAAGTGTGAGAGCGTAACAAGCACGAACACAAACTCACTTTCACATTAAAATATTAGGGTTAGCATTACATGCCTAGGTTGGGTTACCGACACCTGACATTGTTCTGTTCACTGTAAAGAAAACAAATTTGGTCAAACTTATTATGTAACCATTTACGGCTTAAAGTGGACTTCATCATCATCATCAACAGCTTTTAATAGTCCACTGCTTCTGTCCTTAAAAAGGAGGTTTTGGCCTACTATACCACGCTGGCCAGACGGGTTGGTATAGGGTTTGTGTCAAGTTTTCCTTCTCTTTGCAGTGCTGTTGTCCTGCGAAGTTTGCCCGCTTAGCCGCCTCATACCCACGGGATGAATAGGGTTGGTGACACTCTGTATTCTTAATCCGTCACCACACGGAACAAAGTGAATTTATTCGTCTGGAAATACAAAAAAAAACCTTTTCAAAGAAATCCACGTTAGTGTTATTCGCTCCGTGCGCTTCTGGTTAACTAGTGGTGCCACCGCACCTACCAGTCATAGTGTCATACGCTCTTGCAGTTGTCGTCACTTCCGTCCTGCGGCTTCTCTGCTGGCCTATTCTTACCCGTACTCTGGGTCACGTGTATGACGCTCCTACCGCCATATCTCAATAGTACCGCGTTGATCTGCACGTCAACCCCGGTGTCGTTACCCACGCATGATCTAGACTTATGACATACTATATTCGTTACACTACTATATACGTTTGTACATGTATGAGACCTATTTCTAAGCGTTCCATGGATTCCCTGTGCGGGTGCCGAGTCCATCGCGTGACACATGGGGGCAACACATGCGACTCCGACAGCGCTTATGAATTGCGACCCAGGAATAGGTTTAGGGAGTGCTCGGTGTGACGCGTCAGCGTTCACCTCCACTTTCTGCTGTGTTACCCCCTCTACCTAACTATATTTGAATTGTAGCCTTGCAATGCCGCTCTGGATATTCGTTCAAGAAAAGAGCTTACCTAAGCTCTTGGCAATCCAAGGTCTTTAAGCAGGTTATAGTGGGATTTAGCTGGTATACTCCTTGCACCCACTTCTACAGCATACTACGCAACGAAATAACCATTTTTAGTTATTTCGATGGTTAAGTCAAAATACTTGTTTCTTTTTAAAGCATGGTCTTGAGGGAGGTTCGTTTCCCACGACACCGTGAGTTCTACTAGTACCACACGCTTACATTGACATTGCATAAAGAAATATGCCGAGGCACAGATATCCTTCGGTAGTCTGTAATGAATTTCATACGTGTCCACTACTAATGTCCTGTCACTGGCTTTATTTATAATTGAGTACGGCTTTTGTGAAGTGTTTTTTGTTGAGCCTTCCTTTACCAACTCGATGTTAGTTCTTATGTTTGTTGTTATTCCGTTTTTTGCTCTCGCCAGTGATAAACTTATAGCTCCGTGAATGATTTGTAATACCCTATCATGGCGACGTGAATAATGACCCCGGTGTAATAGCGCCTTAGAACCTGCCAGTAAGTGCCTGGCTGTACCTATTTCCGCACTACACATCGTACAAGCCTTTTCTGTAGCTTTTTCCCACCTTACTGGGCTATTATAATCGGGGAGAGTTAATTAAAAGGCGTTAAGGTTAAATTTTAAAGGGCAGGTGACCAATCGTATAATAGTATGCCTGGTGTCTTTATGTCTGTATGGTCTCTTTTAGGGAGGAAATGCTAAGACGGACCCAGATGTGGTTGGGTTCCTGGTTCAGGTCACTCTCTGGCTTGCCTTGAGATATGTGAGGGTCAAGTCTATCCGTAATGGCAAGATCATTGCCCTTAATCTTAATAAAATCGATAAAAAAATAAGTATGAGCGCTTTCCTTATCGGCAATATATGTATGGTATGATGTTAATGTAATTATGTATCATAATTGCTTTCAAAACAAAACAGCAAAAATTTAAGTTTTGGAATGCAGTTGACCGGAAACAGAAAGTCGATTAATTTATTCAAAACCTATCATTGAAAGTATCTATAATTTAAAATTGGTCTATAATAAACTTTTATTTCTTTAATAAATGGAATGAATTGTTTTAGTTTTTTTATTTGTAGACAAATGCCACTCTTAACTGCTAGAACATACAATGCTATGAAGTAAATTAATTTCAGGTGTTACTTAATAGAGCAATACTGGATGTCGGTAATGCGACCTCGACGTGTATTATAACGTTTATAATACATGTCTACGAAATCATAGTATTTAAAATACTTAAAGAGTTATATAAGACACAAATATCCGAGATGTTATTGTTTATATGTGACGTTGGTTTTTTTTTTAAAAAGACAATTCCGGCGCTTGTAACCTGTGTCGCGGGGGACTTTACAAACATACATGAAACGGACAGAAAGGACAACCAGACTCAAAACTACAATTGGTGGATCACACAGTGTTGTCCTATGTGGGGATCGAAGCCACAACACTCAGCGCAATAGGACGCGGCGAGGTGACCACTTAAACAATTACGCCATCCGAGCAGTCAAATGCGTCATGTTGTTCTAGAATCTAACATGGGGCCCAATATTTCTATGATTCATAGATAGTTTTCAGACCATACCATCACTTAGTTGCATTGGTGTGATCCAAGTATTTATTGAAACAAGGAAATTGCAGAATATTTTGACAAGTAACAACTGATGCTATATACATTTAATAAATGTACTGAAAAAATAAAACATGTTTGTCATTTATATCATCTACACGGGTGTTTTATATGCATCTTATTTTATTATGTAAGTTTATGCTACATTATATAGGTAGTTTTGCAGTTATGACTGCAAAAAGAGCGATCGTATTATATGTATTATGATCGTCTTACAAGACGAGGTCAAATTTTTGACTTACATTGTGTTTTTTTCAGCAAGATCTAAAATTTATATTCTTCATTATACTTTATGTCCGGGCAGCATACATATATATAACCGCAAATTGATCATATTTATCAGTCTTCGCTTTGAAGTGAACTAATTCGTCAGAAAATACTCAGAAAACGGTTACAATGAAATCCATGGTGGTGTTTTTCGCATTGTGCGCGGTGGCTTATGGCTCCCTGGTGGCGCCTGCGCACCTACCAGTAGTCACATCATACGCTCCTTCAGTCGTCGTTGCTCCATCCTACGGCTACAACGCTCCCCTGCTGCCTTTGGGAGGACTCGGCTATGGGGGTCGCAGCCACTACCTGTACAAGCGCTCCTTAGGACACTACGCCGTACCAGCCGCTGTATCTCACCAATCCCGTGTAGACGTAGTCTCCAGCCCCGCTGTGGTGTCACACGCCGTGGCCGCGCCTATTGTGGCTCACGCTCCCGTCGTCGCCGCTTTACCATCTGCCGTATCTCATCAGTCCCGCGTTGACATACACAGCAGCCCAGCTGTCGTCGCCCAAGCCGCCGTTGTACCCGCCGTTGCTCCTCTTAGCTACGCCGCTCCTTATAGCCATGGATATGGCTACGCCGCCGCCCCCTACAACCATGGCTACTACAACTCTGCCCCTTGGGCCCATGCCTGGTAAATAGGGAACACTTATGAATTTACTATCTATCGACGATGATGCAAAAATGTAAATAAAATGTTTATACAAGAAAATTACGTCATTTAATTTATCTCTGTGTTGATTAACTGACATTGATGAACTTTATAATATATCATGGATTAATAGTAATAAGTTTTGTATGTGATAAATGTTCAAGATGACAAAATAGTCGTGCAAAAGCGCTATTAACGAGTAAAATATCTGTAATCTTTATCTAAGAAATTCATGTTCCTAGAAGGACGTACGAAAAAACGTGTACACGTAGTTATATATACTGTAGATCCCTACGACTTAAACCATAACATTTTTTTAGAAATTTGACTATCTATGCGATCAAAAACTTTGAAAGTATCTATGTAAAATGTTATTTTTTGTTTGTTTTTTATTTTTTTATAATCGGGTATCTTGCAATCAGTCCTCGGACTATAAGCAGATTAGCTGAAGTAGGGTTTGTCTTGTCGAGGAGGATTTCCATTGAAAGCCTCTATTTCAATATTATCGACTCTTTTTTTAAGATGCTAAGTCCTTTTCGCTGGTCTTTTCAGGCGCTTTATATGAACTGGTTTGGCTAGACTAATGGCCAGATGATTAGGGTGCGTTTCCAGTCTTTGTTTGTAGCGTTCGGCAAATGGGGCTACTTAATCTTTTACAGTATTAATTTGTAGTACTTCATGAGCCTCCGAGTTTTTAATGAAGTACGGTGCATGAGAGATGTTTTTTAGAATTACGTTTTGCATTCTTTGCAGAATGTTTATATTGGAGACGGCACTAGAGCCCCAGAGTTGTATGCCATAGGTCCAGATCGGCTTCAGGATTTTCGTATACACCAGTAATTTGTTGTCAGTACTGATTCTTTTCCCAGAAGCCACTGTAGCTCTTTGGTTTTCCGGTTGACTTTGTCTCTTTTTCACTGAATGTGGTATTTCCAGGTTAGCTTCCGGTCGAGGTGCATGCAATTTCCTTGTCGCAAGGTGAATGTGACTTGAACAGATTTAGTTGTACTAACATTTATTCTCCACTTTTCCAACCAATTGTGTATGTCACCCAGACTAGTTTGAATCTTTTTAGAGGCTGTCTTCGGATTTTTATGACTTGCTAGAATTATTGTATTGTCAGCATATATTATATGTATACGGGCCTGAGCACGGATCCTTGTGGCACGACTGCGCGGATATCACAGAAAGTGAAGGTACCGCCTCCTTCTATGAATTGAAATATTCTATGAGATAAGTAAGATTTCAAGATTTCAAAGTATGTGGGAGCCACGCCTTGGTTTTATATAACAGGCCTTTATGCCACACCTTATCAAATGCTTGATTGATGTTGAGGAATGCAGAGCTTTCTGATAGTTTCGCATACTCGGTGGACTTGTCCAATAGTACCATGTTCTGCTCGAAACCCGAAATGATGATCTGGTATTAAGGTATTTTGAGTAAGTATATGGAGCATTATCTGGAGCAGAAGTTTCTCGAAGAGCTTCGATGCTATTGGTAAGAGACTAATGGGTCTGTAGGAAGTTACATCATATGTTGGTTTACACTCTTTATGAACCATTACTATTTAAGACGCTTTGTAGAGTTTTGGGTAGTGTTTTGTTCTTAAAATCTCGTCGAATAATAAAGTTAGGAATATCACTGCTTTTTTGGGTAATTCTCGGAGTACCTACCTCTTTAGTTATAAGGTCAAATCTCGGTGCTTTTTGGTTATCAAGTTTATTCATTGACTTGATAACTTCTGATGGAGCAATGTGTTTAATGGGTAAATCCTATTGGAAATCTTGATTCATTACCAATAGGTTTAGTCATCTATATTGCGATGTCTTGAATTGGAAACAAAAACATTTGACAGGTGTTCAACAAACAGGTCAGCTTTTTCTTTACTAGTTCGACACCATGATCCCTCGCTATTTTTCTTATTAGGCGGTTCCGATTTTTGCGGTTTGTTTATATTGCGAGTGGCTTTCCAGAGTGAATAATTAGTCGCCATATTCGGGGTGAGCGATTCTAGCCTTGCTTGGATACTTGCATTTTCGACTACAGCAAGAGCCTCTCTCACTTCTCGAATAGCTTTATTGAGTGCCGTCTTGTCTGATTGACATTGGCTTGTGTGCCAGACTGTGCGAAACCTAACTTTTTCTTTTATCATTTCTCTTACTTTCAAGATTAACCAGTAAAAATTATAACATAATAATCCTAAACGTGAAGTTTGGAGAAAATTCTTTGACAGTAAAAATATTAATTAAGAGATATGTTACAATGTTGATACTGTGAATGGTTTTATATAAACTTTGCGAGTTTCTTTTGTTTAAGTTTAAGTATAATGGTAGTCTTGCAACAAGCAACATTTGTAACTATATAATAAAAAAATGAGTTCTATTGTGTGACCTTATTGTATATTCTTCTATTATCGAAGCTATACGCTCGTGGAATGCATTATAATCCTAGGTGGAATGCATTATAATCCTAGATCCAATTCTGCAGTTATTTCTTTTTTTAAACGAAACTTAATTTAAATTTTTAAGTATTGTATGTAAAACAGTATGTAAAACATTAGTTCCGGGTTGCCTATTAAATATTAGACGCAATTACCTATAATTAAATTCAGTGTAAGTAATTTATTTATATAAATTGCAACTATGTATTAACAACAATAAATTATACGTTTTTAAAAGGAAATGATTTAAAGAATTAAAAAACAATGTGGCCACCGTTATTGATCTCAGTCGGCCGTAACCTTTGGGATGGTAGGTGCAAATTGTAGGTACAGATGGTAGGTGTAGGGGGTGGGTGGTACACAGGTACATTACTGTTAATTATTTATAGTCATCTATTTTTTAAATAAATATTCCATCAAATTGATGCTTAATATTTGCTGTACACGTCAACCCATGGTTGCCACTTAAAAAATGACCGCAAGCAGTGGTTGCCATGATTTAAATTAATTATTTTTGCTTCTGAAATGTGTGAGCGAGAGAAAAAACAGAGAGCTAAACAGGGGTTGATCATGGGATTACCTTGACTGTGTTGGTTGTTCTGAGAGGGACCGTTTCGGTCTTCACGCTCCCTGGCGATCCGCACGAGCCAGGTGAGACCCTAGGCGACACTAGGGTAGTCCCAGCTCCGAGCGATCAGCGACAGGCAGTGACTTACGTGCCGGTTCCCCACAGTATGTTGGGGCAGTCCACACCGCAACGCGGTCTGCGGAGTGCCTCGTTGTTGCTCCTGCTGTGGCGGCGGCCCTCCTCGCCCGCGCACGGTGCGCCGACTTGGCCCAAGTAAGCACAGGTGCCCGCGGGCCGCGGGGGTGGTTGCAGCCGCAAGACCTGTGTGCGGTGTTTGCTCTCACACTCGACGCTGGCGAGCGCGGTGGCGCTCGAGCCTGAGGAGCGCAAGGGGAACTCGCATGTCATGTCCGGTTTGTTTTCTATCACGCTCGACGTTGGCGAGCGATGGACGGTCGCTGGAGCCTGCGGAGCGCGAGGGGAACCCGAGTCGCGAGGTATGTTTTCCGGTATGGCATCCGGAGGAACGCGTAGCCTGTCCCCGGTTAGCCGGTGGATGGTGGCTCGGCCGGAGCCGGGCGACACAGAGTTATCAGCCGGTGGATGGTCGCTCGGCCGAACCCGGGCGACACGGAGGTATCGCGGGGCTAACAAGCATAGCAGATTCGCCGCTGAAAACCAACTCCGGGAAGTTGGGCTGTGGTCGACCTACAATTATACTAGCACTGCTGTACTTATTTGCCACCGCATTGGTGGGCGCACGTCATTGCGAACACAAGTTTCCGTGCAGTGAGCAACGATCTCGGAGGCCTTCGGAAATCCTCGGAAATCTTCGGGCGCTCCGCAGACGTTGCTTGGTCGACGCTAATCCTGACCAAGTACGCCCAACGCAGCTCGTTTTTATAGGACGCATTGTTCGCGCACGTGTTTACATGTTGTTAGGTTAAGTGTTGTATTTTCTTGTTGTGTTTAGATACACACATCACATCACATCAACAGCCTTTAATAGTCCACTGCTGGACATAGGCCTCTCTTTAGAAAGGAGGTTTTGGCCTACTATACCACGCTAGCCAGACGGGTTGGTGTTCGGTTTGTGTCAAGTTTTCCTTCTCTTTGCATTGCTTTTGTTCTGCGTAGTTTGCTCCCTTAGTCAGCTCTTACGACACCCACGGGATGAATACTCCGGAAGGCAGGTGGAAAGCCGGTATTGAAAATCCTTCAGAAGAAATTTAATTCTGCCATACTCGGTAAATTGAATATAACCACACTATTTCTGTATTAGGTCCTTACATATGAAATTAGCGTCTTGTCGTACTGACCACTTTGATCTGAAATATCTGCTCTTTGGCTAAGAATTCCTAAAGAATTAAGTATAAATTCATTTAGCTGGTACATTTGAGTTTTGGAAACATACATTCATTTGTTTTTTTCCTCATTATTTTTTTCTTTGCCGTCGCTTATTACCGCACAATGGAAAACATGAAATATCGGTAGATTTACGAGTACGAGTTCTACTAAAAACTCTAAAAACTTGAATGATTGGTACCTCATGAATTGAGTGAATCGAACTTGCAAACAGGCGTCGACTGCTAATTTATTTTGCTCAACCGACATAATAATGAAGGGATTTTTAATCTAGCTAGCTGCTAAACAACCGAGATTGGTCAATTGCTCTAGGCCACTGCTGCTTCACGACAACGCAAGACCACACACTGCACAACAAACAACCACTAAGTTAGATAAGCTACAATTTGAAAGTCTCCAACAGATTACCATTTTTTTCCGGAATTTAGACAACTTCTTACAAAGAAAAGAAATCAACTCCGATGCGGCAGTCCAAACCGTCTTCAAAGAGTTTATTGATTCTCGCCCCCATGTTTTTTTTTTGTAAAGGGATCAATGAACTACTTATGAGATGTCAAAAGTGCATAAATAACAACGGTGCATACTTTGATTAATTAAATATATTTAAAAAAAA